TACAGAGAGCCTTAGCTTGAGCTCAGGGGCACAGGCAGGAGCTTTGCCAGCTAATCCACTGGACCTCTTCAAAAAAAGTTCTACCACGGCATCTCCACTGACTGCTCTAGGTTCGTTTACAAAAGTAAATGTCTTGTTCCACTCCAAGATACCTGCTAACATGAAAACATGGATTCTATTTTTCCTTTACTTCTTATGTAGTGCTATACCCTTTATCCATGTGCTGTTTGCCCTAAACTGTTAAGTTCTGTGGATGCTAAACTCTGCATCCTCAACTGAACCAGGATTAAAGCAGTTAACTTTGTCAGCAGATTCCTGCTTCAGGTACACGAGGCTCAAGTGAGCCAAACACAACTTGTGTGGTCAGGGTAACATTGCTGCACAGTGTCTTGATAATCATTTTAACAGAAGCAACTACATGGCAAATCTACCTGTCACGTCTGTGCTAGAATTGAGAATGTTCCTCCTTCCCTTACAGCAACCTCAATTTCGTACTTGCAGCACTGAAATTTAGCAAAGTAAAAAATTAAACCCTTTCTCCCACTCCCTTTCCCCCAGTTGATTTATAAGTGCAAACCAAGAGATTTTTGCAAACAGTGCATGAAAATCTTTTGCTGGTACAAAATTGATACACTCCTGCTTGTGGTCTTCAGATGACTGAAGTGCTGTGTAACAACAATCTCCCTCCAGGTGGCTTGCCAGTAACTTCATCACCATGGACCCCACAGACAGCTTCCTTCATTCAGGCTACATCAGTCTTTCATGGGTCTATGATGCCTGCTCAGTCTACAGGATTTACTCAACCACTTGCCTTTGGTACTCAAGCAGTGCCAGGCTGGAACCAGTCTTCATCCTTTGGTGCCACACCCACTCAGTCTCCTGGTCTCTGGCCACAGCCAGCACAAGTTACACCCAGTTCTTGGGCACAGCCAACCAGTGCTGTGAATCCCTTTCAGAGCAGCGTGTTCACATCTCCAACACTACCAGCTCAGACAGCCTCAGCACTGCCTTCCATGTCAACAACAGCTAACCCACCTCAGCCGCCTCCCAGAGCTACACTGCAGAAGGAGCTGTCCAAGAAAGAGAGTGATGCATTCATTGCCCTGGATCCACTTGGAGATAAAGAAATGAAGGATGTCAAGGAAATGTTCAAAGACTTCCAGCTGACAAAGCCACCTGCGGTGCCAGCAAGGAGAGGAGAACAGCAAAGCATTTCAGGTGCTTTTGGAGTTCTCAGCAGTTACTGTAGTAGTAAAGTAGGCATTTCTAAAGGTAGTACGGCTCATGATTAAATGGCAGCTAGCAAGCTGTCTGCCAAAATGACTGGTTACATTTTGGAGTTAATGGTTACTGAAATAGAGGGTTGAAGGACTGTCTCAACTAGAAAAATCAAAGAATTAGCAGCAGCAATGGTCGAACACTGACACCTAGTGCCTAAATTATTTGACTAGAACGAGGTAAACCTAAGTCTGTACAACGTTAGAATTTCCATCTGATTTAAGCTTAGTGAGGGACAAGCAGGAGTTAATATTGTGACTCAAAGTCACTCTAAGAAAATTCCATGTAATTTTTCTGTGTTTCTAATTAGATGAGCTGTGGTGCTGCTACAGAAGCAGACCTGAGTGCTTGCTAAATCTGTCAAGTAATTATAGCAGTATGTCTCTCTTTTTTAGAACCACCAAAGCCTGTTCCTCGACAAACTGCATTGCCAGCTGAAGGCCTGTTTGAAAGTCAAGACAAAACAGACCCTTTCAGTGCCTCATCTGTAAGTAGCAAAAAAACCCAACAAAATAAAACAAAAAAAAAAAAACTACAAACAAGCACCCTAACACTAAAATGCCCAAATTATGTCACACCACAAAAAAGGCCATCAAAAACCTTTTTTTCTCCCTAATAACTGTGGTGCCTATGAGCACTAGTTATGACTTTAGAGGCCATATAACAAAGACCTTTTGTAACTTTGAGGCTAATATGTAATCTAGCAGAGGGTATCTGTTGCAAGAAGGTTAACAAAGCATTATTCCACTTGGCCTGGCACCACAACCAGTTTCCCATGGTGCAAAGTTCTGTAGTACTGGGACACTCTACAAGAGTATCACATAATATAGTTCAGAAATGATCCCCTTTGGTAATACATAACCCTCTTTAGAGCAGACTGAGCAGTATGGATTGTGAAGCTCTCTAGATGTACAAATGAGATGTTCCATGTTCAGGACTCTGCAGGGGAGAAAGGGGCCTCAGCAGATCACTCAGTTTGGGACAGAGTACTTGAAGCTCTCAGTGAAAATTCTGGACCAGTTCCAGAGTGCAGACTTAAGACTTCTAGCATTTGATTAAAAGATATCTCATCATGATACCACTGGTTCCAAAGGAGTGTTCAGTAGCAAATTGTTTTCTGCAAAATACCTTGCCTTGGACTAGCATAAAAGCTAACATAGCTTAGAGTCCCCTTCTTTTGTTGAATCAATACAGTAAATGTGTATTAAGCAAGACTTCTGAAGTATTCATTTCAGGTGTTTGAACAGGAAATAGCTCATAGAGCCATGAAGTATAAATCTGGTGAAAACTGGAAATCCCCTAACAGCTTATATCTCTTTTCTTAGAAGGAATCTCAGAATCCACCTTCTGGTCCTTTTGATGATCATTTTGGCAACCCATTTGCATAATTCAGGTAAGTCTTCCACTAATATACCAACCTACTTCATCCTCTGAAATTTGTTAAGGAAAAGATTGGTAAAGAGATATCTAAAAGCTGCAGTAGATTCACACTAATGCTTCCTGAAAAATGGCAAACAGTGCTTGGAAGAACTTCTGCTGGAGTACCTCAATCAGATTTGTACATAGTTGCACTCTGTCTAAGCCTAGCCAGCTTCTTTCTTAAAAATAAAGACTTTATTCTTCCACAGATTTAAATCCCAAGCCCACAATAGGTCTAGATTTCCTTTCCTTGAGGAAAATTAATGACCATATATGTGCTGCAGAACTCAGAGGGGCTGACATTAATATTTTCAGATATCTGTGGGGGAATGTTAGCATAAAGTGCTCTTTATACAGCACACAGCTTTCTGAAGTTTAATCACCTCAACAACAGCAGTTTTGGACTCTGGGTAAATTGGAATAAAACTAGAATAAGGCTATTAGACTCTTGGTCTGATTTTTAATCAAAAACTGCTACAAGTACTTTTGTTGCTATAAACTAATGTAATTTGAAATTTTATACCGTTGACTGAAGAGCATGATCTACTGATCCAGCAAATCTTCTGCCACAGCATTCAATCTTCCCCTGAAATAGTGTCTAGCTTCTGGCAGAAGACAAATGCTGGTATTTATTGCTTTAGTTTTGTACTCAGTGGCTCTGTTTAAGCAATAAAGCCACAACTCGTAACCATCCTAACACTAATTCCTTTCCACCATTCTAGGCATAACCAGAAAAGGACAAATGGAATAACTGGACCTCTTCTCAACGTGATTTTTCTACATGTTTCACTTTGCTGTCTGCTATTCTTGCTGATATTTCATGATGTCTGCAGTCTAAAAGATATCCAGGTGGATATATTTTGAAGCATGGGCCCTCAAAGAACATGCTGTGAAGATAATTCAGGGCGAAGCAAATGGGGATATTGACTCACGCTGAAAACCCAAATTCAAATTGGTGGATGTTACCTTTACTTTAGTTCTTTGCACTCCCCTACAGAGAGGTTGGTAGCACTGAGTAAATGTGTCTTGTACCATTTCCCTTTACATAGCACTTACTATCCCAAAATAGAGGAACTTAATGTACCTAGGGGAGAGGTGTTGCTTTTACACGAGGGTGTAGAATTAGTAGCTAAAACTCCACACCTTAAACAACTAGGTCAATTGCCCATTATGACAGCAGCAGCCAGTTGTAAAGTTAAGTGGATGCTACTGAGTTCCAGTTGGTAACTGGACAGATAACTTGGTCTATCAGCCACAAAAATGCAACTATGTGTAGAGGAAAATAATCTAATATGGTCTATTTAACTAAAAGGAAAAGTATCGTTCCACCATAAATGTGTCATTAAGGGACTGCGGAGTCTGTAACAGCACTGCTGAAGCCCTGAGTACTAGAGGCCTACACTGTAAGCTGAAAAACTTCTTGCAGAACATTTAGGTAGCAGTGGACACTAACTATTGTCTTGGTGCTAATATGGCAGTTTTCAGGGAGGTAAAACTACTAGGATTACTTTCCTATTAATGTGGCTTGGCACACAAATGAAACAAGCAGTTAGGGTTCTTGCTTATATCTCAGTGAATCCCTGATTTGCTCAGTTTGTTTTGTCACTTAGTGTACTGGGGGATGTTTCCAGCATTCTAGAAAACAAAAGCACCAAAATGGCTTCACTCCATGCCTAGGCTCCTTGTGAACAGATGCACAACCTCTGTGCCATTAATGTGAGGTAGTACTCTATCTCTTGCCTTTTCTCAAGAGCCTCTTTACTAACAGGTTTTGGAACCAGGTACAACTGCTTGTGACAGCTACATTCTTGGCCAGTGGTGATGACTGATGTGTTAGAAGTTTTTCTGTTAATGTTAAGTATAAACTTGAAGTATTATTGTTAAATCAAATGCCTAAGACGTTGCTAAACTGGAGAGCTAAGAAAGTCAACTTGAATACCGCCTTAGTATCCAATTCAGCCAGTCATGCAATTAGTCTTGTATACAAACTTCTCTTGCACTTTCTGTAATGCAAAATTTTTTAAAATCAAAAAAAAAAAATCACAAATTTAAGTATTTGTCTCAAACTGGAAATGTAGAAACTTATTGATGTTACACTGTTATATAAAGCTGTAGTATCTGTTACTTAATGGCATTAAAAAGAAGCAACTCTTCATACCAAATGAGCATCAGTGTGGCTGTTAATTCTGTCCTCTGTCAGTGTTGTGGTCTAGTTGACATTAGAAGTTAAAAGCCTGCTGAGAATCATTCTTCACAGGTTCTGTAGCTGTCTGATGGCAAAGTGTCTTTCTGTAACTTCTTGCATAGGACCTATTCAATAAATGCTGTGCCATATTAAAAAATTAAAATCTCAAACTGTCACTAGAACTTTGTCCCTTTGGCTGCACAGCCTGAGCTTGCTGCTGCTAAAGATGCTTTCTTGCTTCTTTCTGCAGGACTGTAGGAGCTGAGTAATTAAATTGCATTGCACTCAGAAGTTTCAATAATTCAGCTTGGATATTCCAGCTTTGCAGGAAATCTAAATTGATACTGGGAAATCTCAGAACATGTTCTTGTGCTCAGAAGAAATTATATAACTCTTTTAACAGAGACAGATTAAAAACAAATCTGTCAGTAAGCTGCTGGTATAGACTATTCTGCTTATTTCTAATATTGTTTAGCGGTTAAAAACAACTAATTGCAAGAGATTTGTTATCCATCTTGAAATACAGATCTTAAGGGGTCTTTACGGAGTCACAGTGGAACTTTTTTGGCAGTTTTTTGTTTGGTTTTATGAGGGTTTGGGTGGCTGGGGTTTTTTTTATTTTCATTTTGGATGGGACTTTTTGGTTTTTATTTTTTTGGTTTGGTTTGGGTGTTTTTGCTTTTTATCTTCTTGACTGCATGGCAACATATCATTTAGTACTAAAACTAAAAGGACAATTGTCTGCCTTAATGCCACCATGAAGGAATATGTTTGCCTTATTGAGTTAAGGATTTAAATCACTGCTGTTCAGATTTTGAAATGGCAATCAGGATGTTCATTTGGACTGGGACCTCTTACAAGCTGGCCAAAGATGCTTGTTGGTCTGATAGCTAACTTTGAATAGCTGTTTACTCTGAGTCTCTGTCTTAATGAACCATGAACTGTGATAGCAGTTTTGATGAAACAATACAATATTACAAGTGTCTGTGTCTTGCATTCTTGCCTAACAAATGAATTTTTTGTAACTGGACTCATCAAGCTGGACTGAGGCTGCACCAGATGAAGATTTCTTTAAATAAAATAATCCAAATCAAGGCTTGAGTAGAGGGGAAATTTGCCTGCCTTACTTTACACACTTCCCTCACCCTGCCACAAAATCAGGGAATAGAAAAAAATAAAACTACTTTTATTGATTTTTTTCAATTACCATGGTAATTCGGAAAATCTTTACCTCAGATCATTATTTTAAGATTGTATCCAAATATGTAACTCTTAACAGCTAAACAGAAGGTTATTTATGAGTGACTTGTGACTGTGTCCAACACATGATACTTTAAATCTGGATTACGGCAAACCACTGAAAAGGAATGCTCTTCTAAAGAGCTGGCTTGTGGTTTGGATTTTTGTGACAGAGTGAAGACTAAAAGACTTTTAGTCTCATTCAAATTCTCAAAAAATAATGTGTTGTTCTTTTATATTGGCTGGGGGAGGAGGATTCCAAAGCTGTTATGCACTGAACTTGCTCTTGTAAACAGCTCTGCTTTAGGAATTATTTGTTCTTTACATGAGTCACTGTTACAACAACTTTTTCACTAGGCAGTTAAAGGTTCTTCTAATTCAATACATCATGTCTTTCCTATATTCAAAAGATATTGTTAAACAAAATTGGTTTATTTTTAGCCTTGCAAATGCTTCATAGTATTTCCCCAATCAGAGTGAAAGTGGAATTTTCTGAAAAGTGGACTTTAGAGCACTTACAGTAAGGCAGTTTTGGCCAGTTACTGTCATTCTTCAGTACACACTGCTTTTTGTTTGTTCTCTTGGTAATAAATAACTAAAGGAACGAATAAATAAATTACAAATTCAGTCACAATAGTTCTGGTATGCTCACCTACAAAATGAGAACCGTGCTTGGTATTCTGCAGCTTATAGCCATACTATACAATGTAGAGACAGTTGCCTCAGTTTGGGGGGAAAGCAGAAGGTAAGTGTGCTTTTTCTTCTGCAGCTGTCTCCACTGTTTCATTTTTCCAGCACAGAGCAGAAATATCCTCTGCGGACATTTCTAATGGTACCTTACTGAGATATCCTATGAAAAGAAAAAAAAACCTACTTCTTGCTGTATTTTGAGGAGTCCGATGGCAATGGTTTATTTGTTTATTTTGGATATATGTGACAAAATAAAGGTGCCTGTTGAAGTAGCTGAAGGCATATTTTTGCAGGCAGGTAAAGCTCAGGTACCTTTTTCTACTGCATGCTGTGTGCAAATACTTAATCTCTATTTCTTCCTGCAGCTGAAAAATTTTATGCTGACAGTGCTTCTCTTAATATTTAAAGTCTCCTAGACTGCCTATTTCTAATCTTTGGAAATACAGCATTTGTGTTTTCAAATGTTTTCATTTGTGTCCTCCTAGTATCACTAGGAGAAAAATGAAGGCCTAGTCCCTACCAAATGGTCATGTGAAAAAAACTGAAGAGCTGCTCTACCAGAAATTTTTAATTCACAAGAATGGTCAAAACTAAGTGATGAAAAAATGTGAGCTTTATAGTAGATATATGTTTAAGCAAGTCCCGAGAAAGGTACAATGTTAATGAGAAGACTGAAGCACCTCCTCTACAACAACTGAGAAAGCTGGGGCTGTTCATCCTGGAGAAGAGAAGGTTGTGTGGAGACCTTATAGTCCCCAGACCTTCCAGTGTCTAAAGGTGCCTACAGGGAACCAGGAGATGTATGCTTCATAAGGAACTACAGTGATAGGAGGAGGAGTAATGGGTGCACTCTGAATGAGGGGTAGTTATGGTTACATATTAGGAAGGAGTTCTTCACTGTGAGCATGGTGACACACTGGAACAGGTTGCTCAGGGAGGCTATGGATTACCAACACTGGGAGTGCTCAAAGCCGGGTTGGGTGAGACTTGGAACAATTTGGTCTAGTGGGAGATGTCCTTGCACACAGCAGGAAGGTAGAGACAAGATGATCTTGAAGGTCGCCTCTGCTCTGGATGCAGCCCAGGACACATTTTGGCTCTCTGTGCTGTGAGTGCCAGCTGTGCACAGGGACGCCTTTCATGACATAGGGTTGCTCAGAGCTCCATCCAGCCTGACTTTAAATGCTTCCACGGATGGGGCATGCACAACTCCTCTGGGCAAGCTATGCCAATGCCTCACTACCCTGACAACAGAAAACTTCCTCCTAATATCTAATATAAACCTACTCTCTTCTAATCTGTTTCCCCTTATCCAGTCACTCCATGCTCTTGTAAAAAGCCCCTCTGCATCTTTCTTATAGGCTCCCTTCAGATAAGGGATGGCTGCAGTGAGGTCACTCCTACGTGCCTCTTTTCCAGGTTGAGCAATCCCAATTCTCTCACCCTTTCCTCACACAAGAGATGCTCCATGCCTGTGATCATCTCAGTGGCTTCCTCTGGACTCTCTGGCCGGTCCATGTCTTTCCTGTTTAGAGGACCCCAGGGCTGGATGCAGTGCTCCAGGTGGGTCTCAGGAGAGGAGAGCAGAGGGGCAGAATCCCCTCCCTCCCCTGCTGCCCACGGGGCTCTGGATGCAGCCCAGGACACGTTTGGCTCTCTGGGCTGTGAGTGCCATGGCCGGGCCATGTGCAGCGTCTCACCCACAGCACCCCCAAGCCCTTCTGGGCAGAGCTGCTCTGGGTCTGTTCATGCCCAGCCTGTGCTGGTACCAGGGGTTATTCCTACCTGGGTGCAGCACCACAACTTGGCCTTGTTAAACCTCATTGGATTCCCAAGGGCCATTTCTTGAGCTTCTCCAGGTCCCTCTGGATAGTGTTCCACCCTTCAGAAGTGTCAACAGCACCACTCAGCTTGGTTCATCTGCTAATTTACTCAGAGCGTACTCAATTCCTTTTTCTGTGTCACTAATGAAGTCATCAAATAACATTGGTCACCATATGGACTCCCGAGGCACACAACTTTTCACTGATGTCCCTGGGACTCCAAGTCATTGACCGTTAACCTCTGGATGTGACCATACAACCACTTTCTTATCAATCTATCAGTATGGAATTGGATCCATCTCTCTCCAATTCAGAGAGAAGCATGCTGTGAGGGATCATGTCAAAGGCTGTACAGAAATCCACATTAATGACATCTGCAGCCCTTGTCCACTGATGGAAGCATTCCACCACAGAAGGCCACTAGATTGGGCAGGCACTTGCTTCTTATGTTTTGATGGTTATTATTATTTTAACATTCAAATACAATTAAAACACAGGTTTAGCACGCTCAGTTAGAAATGGTCCAGACAGAAGATTTGATTATTAGAGAAAATCCATAGTGGGCAACATTGGCCCACAGCTTGGCTCCACAGCATACTCAAGGCTGTGCAGCTTGAAGATGGTGCTAGCAACTACTGTGGACAAAGTTATGCTCTCATGTGATGCTATCATGTCTTCAAACTCAAGAGAGATGTGCCTTATTTCTTGGCGAGCGATAATTATCAAATCAAGACTTTTTTTGAGTCATCCATTTCGTAACTGATGAAGTAAACAACTCTCTCTTCTGAAGTATGACTCAACAACAAATCACCAGAGCAGTGCGGCCTGCGAGTGTAGAGAGTGTACTGTGCAATCCAAGACAAGGTGCACACTGTTCTGTGTACTGATTGTGAAATGGCTTTTGCTTTCCAAAGAGTACTCTTCTGTCCCTCAAACCTCTCAATAGAGAATACCAGAGAAGGTATTTTGATTTCCATGTCCACCTCTGAAGTTTCTGCTCTCAACTGTCACCTTCAATGATGTTCTTCAGTAGCTGAGTTGTTCTTATGTCCTCTCCTATTTAAATTGTGTGACTTAGCATCTGTTTCAATGTAGTTTTCCAGTAACAGTTTTTCTTCAAATTTAATGTGGAGGTGACAAGTTTGCAAATTTTTGTAGTATCTTGATTATTTTAAACAATGTTGTTGAATATATGCCCCTTTGATTTCCCAGATAATCTTAATAGTGGATACATTAGTGGTGTTTCAGAGTTTATGAATAATTTGTAATTAGATTTTTTCTGATTTTTTTTATTTTATTTTATATTTGTTTATCTAAACTCAAGTAAATTCAAAACCCTAAATCTAAATCTGCACCAAATCATGTGAACATTATACACTATGCTGGAGAAGGCCCAGCAATGGATGTGTGTACATCAATTCGATTAATATTCTTGCAAAATTTGCTAGATTGTGATTATCATAAAATGATAGAATCACTTAAGTTGGAAAATATCTTTCATTATGTGAAAAATATTGTTACCTGAAAGTCAGTCAGAGACTACCATTAGTTCTAGTTTGCAGACAGTTGATGGCAAGGCTTCTATTTGCCTTAGAGACTTCAACTCAGTCTTTTCTGCCTGTGATTTTTACTTGAGACTCTAAATAATGCCTCACAACAACCTCTGGGAAAACCTTTAGGACATGAAGTAGCTTGAGTTTGATTGCTTTTTTAGGCACACGGCTGCTTTACATGATTAATCCTTACTGCCTGTAAGGATTTTTGGCTCTATTTTTACATCAATAATGTAACAATTCAGAAATATATTTCAATGTAAATTTGTCTAACATCAAAATACTTGGTAATTTCTAGGAATAGTATAAGTATCTGCTTCCAGACATCCCATTAGATGCCACAATATATCTTATAGGTCTAGCGTCCAAGGTTTCTCACTCCTACTGTCTTTAAGGACAACCTGTCAGTGTTCAACCCAAGATGTCAGAATAGATATTGTTACTCAGAGGTTTTTAGTCCCTCCATCAGTAAGAAGATGGAAAGATATCCTGTAGATACAGTAAGGAACAAGCTGATTCTCATCCATTTACCAGAGCAGTAAATTTTAATTTTTTTTCCACTGTTGATGTTACTGTCATGCGGAGTGGTGGTAAATACATAGAAAACTGTACAGGAACTTTTTAAGAATTACTTGCTTAGTCTGGGTACCCGTAAGATGAGCTATTTGCAGATGGAAGAGTTGGTTTTGAAGAGACTAGGGAGCTACATCAAATTTCAAATGCGATACAACTTTCCAGAATTTCACAGAACTGCTGAATACATTGAAAAGTCAACTTTGAAAGGAACTTCTGGAGATCTTCTGTTCAAAACAGGGCTTTAGATTAGCTTATCCAGGAGTCCTGACAATAGTGTTGCATATTTCCAGGGAAAGACATTCTACCATTTCCCAGGGTAACCTATTTCTGTGTTTAATAGCTGTCATGGCAAAATCTTGGGCAAGTCTGTGATCCCTGAGCTGGTTAGAGCTCAGAAAAAAAGAGGTAGATTTATTTTCTCAGTAACAACTTAGAACATATGTAAACTTTACATAGAATAAATAGCACCAGAAAGTTGGACCAACCCAACTGCTATGTCTTTGTTGCCCAAACTGCAGATTTCTTATCTTATATGGAATCAGGTTAAATTTGTTTAGACTCCTGTGTTATTTGTAGGATGTAAGGAGGTCAAAGAGTGAAGGACAAAGCCCTGCCTGCAATGAAAACCCATAGGTACCTCACACTACAGGAGCTGCAGATCTGCCAACCAGCCAGACTCAGCAAGGAAGGTCCCACTGCAGAGCAGAGCCTTAATTTTGATAGATACAGAGAGGATTTCTCCACAGAGAATGAATAATCATCATGTAAGGCCAAATTGGAATAAGCTACTATTAAATGAGAGTCAAAAAGGCAAGTCACGCTTCAATTCTCCCTTATTCCTCTGCTATTTACCATTGAAGATAAGGTCACAGTAAACCAATAGCCTTGGCTTTTAAACTTGGTAAGTCATTCTATAAGGCATCAGTTTTTAGTATCTACCAGAGGGTGCTTTAGCAAAACTTGATTTCTATTAAGTAATGACCTTACACGTGCTGAGAAGTTTGATGATATTTAAAACTGAGCACCAAAATGACAAGTAACTCTTAAAAAAATAGGCCTAACTTCAAGAGTAGAGTGAGATAGCTAAACATGTTTGTTTATTCTAGCAATGTAAGTTATCCCATTACCAAGTAATACCTTTAATTATGAGTCTTCTTTCAACTCTGGAAGGCATTTACACTTTTATCAAGGGTTAAGAGCAGCACCATCAAAGTCAATTAGCTAAAATCACAAAGATGTATTGAAGTGCTACACCCATTTGAGATGTGCTGCTGTGAGTTAGTCTTTAACTTTACATATTGTGGAGCACAACTACTGTCTGAACAGGAGAATGCAGATGTTTTTTGTGTATTTTCTTTCATTCTCTTCAATAACATGATCCACCATATGGGCATTTGTATGCACAGAGATCTAGAAGCAGAAAAGACCTGGCTTATTCCATCTTCAAAGTTGTTTTTAATGTAATTTTAAACTGCCAAAGAATTTAATATTAGGCAGCTGTTGATACATCTAAATACTTTCATGAAAGTAAAACAGAAATCACCTTGAAGATGCTTCCAAAATATTGATCTATGGTTGAAATACAAACTCACATGTGATTTTAGTAACTGCCAAGGACTGTACTGGAATGTTTTGTTTGACAGCTCTTCAGAAAAAGCTTTCCACAGGGGAACAAGGGAATTGAACGCTCCATCTCCAATAGATTGCAAACTGAGCAGCTGGAGCACATGGGGGCCCTGCGACCCATGCACAAATCAAAGGGTAAGCTGTCCTTGGAAGTCTTTGTTCCAAAGTCACAACCAAAGGGATATCTGTCTGCCTGTTGGTTATGAGAAAGTGTCAGATTGCAGGTCTTCATACTGTATGTTCATAATTTGATGAAACCCATACTAATGTCAGATTTGAAGCCATAGACTAAGAGAAAACTACATCCAGTGTTCTCATTCAAGTTTTTTTATAGAACGCCTGTTTTGGATGTGTGTGTGTTTCTGTTTAAAACTTTATTTTTCAATACATTTTTCCCTTAAAAAAAAAAAATCACAACCCATACAATTTGTTTTCCAAAGCAAATTTTTATTTTCTTAGGGGAGTTCTCTTACGGCTTTAAAGAATCAAAAACTTGAAAACATACTAAGTATAAATGATCCACTTCCACAGTGGAGACATATAAACAAAACAGTGAAGTAAACAAAGTAGTGAAAATTAGCATCTTTACATGCTAGCTAAGTATTAATAATCATAAATATTAATTCAATATTATTTTATTCATTAATTTTGCCTGTGGATTTTCAACAAAAATTTCACCAAAGATGTTTAGTTTTGAAAAGCTCTAAGTTCAGCTGGAAACTCTGAAGTTCTGGTAGATTCTCTTTTCTCTCTGAGCAATATTAATTTAATATTAATTTTTTTTTTCAAGTTTCGCTCCAGACATATTGAAAGATTTGGGCAATTTGGTGGAAAAGCATGCCTGGAGGCCCTAGGAGACACACAAACCTGTAAAACCAGCAAAGCCTGTCCTGAAGAACCAGAAGCAGACTGTGGTGCTGACTTTCAGTGCAGTTCGGGTAGGTTTTGTCTTCGTGCCATAGCAAGTAAAGCAGTAACTCAGAAACCACATTTTAGTTCTGTGAACAAATTACATCAGCCTTATGCTAGCACTTAAAACGGTCCATGGACAGGTGGTTTCAAAACCACAATGCCGAAACCACCTCCGCAAAACCATTTAAGAAGGGGTACATTCCTCTCATCTTCCATTTTAATTTGCACCTAGTTTAAATTCCTCTGTAACTTCTACTCCATGGTTAGAAGCTGACCATACTGACCATATCCTTTCTTCTAGCTTAACTGCCCCACTTGCTACTGGATCACAAGGTTTTATGAAAAATCACCAGGAAAAAAACTAGGATTGAAGGAATCTTAACAGAATGTATATGGAAGTTTACCAATCTAACTGGCATGATAGATGACAGCTGGAGACCAGCATGCACCTAGAGCCAAAAGAGGATATAAATTTGAAAAGTGATAAAGTGCTCAAGATTCATCATAAATCAAAATAAAGTAGGAAAAGTTAATAGTACTAAAACTAGTCAAAACAAAAACAGAAAGATGGCAAAAGAATTTGAAGTTCTAACCCGTTTTTTGTATTGCTTTTAGTTCAAACGCTGAAAAGTGCAAACAGAGCAATTTAAAATTAGAAAACTTTTAAACCTTCAACAGCTTCTAAACCTTTAACTACAGATATTGTGTGGCATTTACAGGTGCGGTTGATGATACCAAAGTGTTGATTTATTGTGCTACAGCTAATTTACTAAAGTCTTTAAATTCTATAGGAAAAAAAAAAAACAACCAACCAAAAAAAACAAACAGTCGTTGTAAAAGTTGTGATATATAAATTCAGGAAAGTTACTACTTCCCTGTTGCTTTAGAGCACAAATCACTATAGTTTTGGACACTACATGTCCATATTATCCAAATCACATAGCCCAAACAGCAACAATTTAAATTATTTATAAAGAATTTTTTGTTGATGTTGAATTGATATTTTCCTGTATTCTCTTAAGATAAATAAGAAAACTCCAACCAACCAAACATGTGAACTTTACTGTAAAACAGTCTAGGATGCAACAATTTTCCTCAGATGACAACAGTTCTCCTGCAACTTACTTTTCTCAGTCATCCTACTAATTTACATATAACAGTTGTATGCAGGTTTTTTCATTTGACAGTGGCAGAGCATAGGATTTTAATTTCTTAAGACAGCAGAAGAAATATACATAGAGGAAGTTCTTAATAAAGAGTAGCTGAGAGTGCAATTTAAAGCCCATCTTGATAAAAATGCGTTCAGGCAATGTTTTATTCCTTGACCAGGTCGATGTATAAAGCGAAGACTTGTGTGCAATGTAGATAATGACTGTGGAGACTATTCTGATGAAGATGACTGTGAATCTGAACCACGGTCACCATGTCGAAAGCATGACATTGATGTGTCTGAAGCTGGCAGGACTGCAGGACATGGGTATGTAGTAAAAAGTAGTATTTGGCCTAGTGAAGAGTTTGCGATTGTCTCCAAAGCCAGCTGAAAAAAACCTGGGGTATAGTGACATTCCCAAAAGAATATGAATCATGGTAGCATTTTTATTTAGAAATGCTAAGTAGCCTTTGCAACAACACTTAACTATGATTTTATTTTATATACTTGTGAGGATAAAACATGCAGTGTAATATGCACTGCAGACAGTGTAAATCAATCATAATGTAAAAAGTATAATATATACATGCCACATGAATAAACCTACATTTTTTAAATGAATATGTTACCAGTATATAGATTTTTTTCTAATGATATTTCACAATCAATGATTAATTGTCAATTACTTTGCTAAAATGCATGTCTGAAAGGGAGAAAATATCTCTTGGCTATTTATATAATGGGATGCCTTACTGCAACAACACTTTATGTGCAGCTTTCTTCCAGTATTGCATTGCCCACTTCCTTGATCTTTGTTGTTTACAGGAGCATTCATCATTAATTTAAGTTGAAAATTAATCTTTTTGTTCTCAGACGCTGCTGGATTTCTTTCATCTCTAACAAAAAGAAAATGTCACATATTGTTTACCTACAAATAGTTAGAAGGCAGCAATCCACACTGAACAGAGGATAAAAGTATACTACAGCACCAGAAGATATAAGTATACTACAGCACTATATATAGTATGTAGTATATATACTATGTAATATATATAGTATAAATACTATATATATACTCTATATACTATATAGAGCATATATACTATATACTCCATATAGCATATAATTGTATACTATTATATGCTATATAATAGTATACTACAGCACCAAAATTATACATCCTTTCATTCAACTTCTTACTGCACAAGAGCAAAAATGCTGTTTTTTTTAGCATGAGGAAGTAAACCAAGAACAAAGGCAATTTTAGAAGCTTCTATTACAATCTGTTACTAAAATCTTGCATGAGAAAATGTTGTATAGAGATGCAGTAATGACACTGCTGACGTTGATGGCTTGCTTAACACTTTCTACACTCAAAAAGGTACACATATATTTGCCAGATGTTAATATTGGAAATACTGAAAAGATTGAAATGTATGAAAGAGGCACAAAAGGGCAAACAAATTATATAGAATCCTCCTAGGAGTTATTTCTTGTACTTCAGTATATAGATGCATAGAGGTATACAGCTGATGAGCCTGCCTCCTTGGTTTTGTAACAGTTTAGATTTCCTCTCTTATGCTCCAGGAAATGCTGCCATTACATTAGGTCATACACTGCAAGAAGAGACAATGCTAGGAGTAGCTGTATATTCCTTCTAAAGATTTGATGGATGTTGTACATGCTTAATAACCAAGTGCCTACCAGCAAACAAACTAATATAATTTATTTTAAAAAATGTATATAGCTGTTGAGATGTACATTTCAAATCTACAAGGAATGCTTTCTCACAGATGAATTTGTTTAGAACAAATATTCTTTCTCGCAAATATATTCATCAACAAAAATGTTTTTTACCTCCTTTTATGCCTAAGGTTTTCACCTGTTTGAGGTTTAATGTCTTTTATTTGTTCATTTCTCATATATGATCCTTCAAGAATTTTATAAAATATGTAAGTATCTCCAGTACACAGATGAGAAACCACAAGGGAAGAGAGAAGCTGCTTCCCTTGTGTCAGTTTTGTTTTCTAGGACCCATTCAAAGCTCTGGATGTCAAATAGCTATGAGGAAAAGCAAGATCCAGTTTCACAGCTATAGTCTCCGTCTCTGACAGAATACAGCTTTTACGGTCTACAGGTCATGTGTGCTGACACACCCTCTTTTGAAGTATTACTTCTCTTGTATTTCTCTTGTAGAATCAATGTTTTAGGGATGCAACCAATGGCCAGCCCATTTGACAATGACTTTTTCAATGGTCTTTGTGAGCGGGTGCGTGATGGGAACACACGGACATATTACCGCAAGCCATGGAATGTGGCTGTTCTCACTTACGATGTAAGTCCTTTGCAAGATAGGATGTGTTTAACTGAATTCCAGATACTGAAATACTCTTGGAAGACTCAACATATCTCTTGAGCCAGACAGCAGAATTTTAGGCTCAGGCTTGTGCTAAAGTCCAGAGGGAAAGAGGTTATGTTCTCCTTTACTTTGGCAGTTAAGCTCAGTTATGCCAGACAAATTCCCACATCTTTGTGCTGCACCTTTGCACAATAAATGACACAATCTTTCTGGAATGTTTAAAATATAAGAAAAAGAAATGAACAGAAGATGTACAGAAAGGATTACAATACCTAACTTTTACTAGGTAGAAGAGAAAATAGTCTACATTTTCAAGGACATGTAAAAGCCACTGATAAAAATGCAGACATAATACAATATTCTGGTCCTACTTGTTTTTTCTAACCAGTGATAATTTTCTCTGTCACATTGGGGAAAAAAATTTGTTAGGCTTTTAAGTTTCAGACTATGACTTTTAGTGAGGTTTGAACACCAAAAATGTTGATGATTGTTGAAAAAATGTTAGATACTTTTCAGAAATCAGAGCACAATTTTGCCTTCTAAATTACTGTAAATAGGAACTTGATAAAAACAAATACTATTTAAATCAGGTCCTTCCAAAATGAGTAAATCTGACCCAGAGATCTCTGGTTGTGCTTGGTTTTGATGTTTAAGAATTTTCAGTTGCTAAAATGTGATGTTCTGCTAAAGTATACTAAAATAGCTGGATTAGTTTTTGTTCGCTGCAAGAAAATAAGAATCATAATAATAACTCTGATTTATTTCAGAAGTCAGGAATTTTTAGCAAATCTTTACAGTGTTTCAGGAAAGAGAGACTATTATTCCTCACACAGAGTCATAGAATCTCATGAGCTGGAAAGGACCCACAAAGATCATTGAGTCTAACCCCTGGCTTTGCACAGGACACCACAAGGGTCACATCTGAGAGCATTTTTGAAACTCTTCTTTGAGCTCTGTCAGGCTGGTGCTGCGACCACTTCCCTGGGGAGCTGTCCTGCCCAACCACGCTCTGGGTGAAGAAACTTTTTTAATATCTAAACTAAACTTCCTACAACACTACTTCAGGCCATTTTCTCAGGTTCTGTCACTGGTCACCAGGGAGTAGAGATCAGTGTCTGTCTCTTCTCTTCTCTCACAAGGAAGCTGTAGACAGTGTAAAGGGATGGTTGACACACATAAATTACTTTTACAGTGTTACATGTTGAGATTTAATACTCACTAAATTATTATCATTGCAGTCAGTTCAGTGATTTTTGAACCACTGAATTGATCCTGATAGGGTGGCTTGTGGAGGGAGTGCTATTTCCATTTATTTTGGTTTAAATGGAAAAAGAGCTGTAAAAAAATGCATTTATATGCTCTGTAAAAACTACAGCCTTAAAGTGCTACATAGATTTTTCAACTAGTGCCTGTTGTTTTCTCATACAACCTTTTCTATCTTTTCTCAGACAAAAGCAGACAAAACTTTCTCATCTGTGTACTACCATGATCGTGTGAAAATGTTACGAGAGGTTTACATAGAAAAACAAAAATATTTTAGTGTTGATGCCTCTTTGAAATACACACCTACTGATGGGAGTAACAAAAATGCTTCAGAAGGACATTTCAAATATGACTACAGAAAGAATTATGCATTTGGTTCCATCCTGCAAAGCTACACAGAAAGGGTGAGATTAATTCTTCTAAAGGTTTTAATGGAAATACTTTACAAATGGTACAGTTTATGTAGTCTTAGGATTAGGCAATAATAATCTCAATATCCTAGACAGCTGCTGCTTCTTAATTTTTTTTTCTTTTTAATGAAGTACTGGTAACGACAGGATTAAGATTTCACACATGGCCAAATGGCAACTCAAAGCATTTTCTTTTTCCCACTGTTTATCTTTGACTAGCAAGCACCATCATCTTCACCGGGGGCTCGGTGTTAGAAAGAATCAAGACCTCTGGTCTCATCCTGATTAGAGAGCAGTTCTGATCTAGTGCAATGTGGAAAAATGAGATCAAGTCTTATGATGAAAAATTGCCACTGAGTAGGCCTACACTATATAAACACAAACTAAATTTTAGGAATAATGACCAAAAGGTCAAATCTCAGACATGTGGGTACATCTGTACTAATAAACTAGCCAGGGCTATAAGGAATGGGCACCAATCCAAGATAATCCATCATTTTACTTGCTTGCCTATACGACTTAAGTCAGCACTAGTTCTCATAAGCAATGCCCGTCCTGCACTTTCCCACAGCATGTTTGAAGGGAATGATCTTGTAGACAGTCTGGAGAAAGGCGAGCCCATTTTGGGATTGTGCATAAGCAATACCTGCCCTTTGAAAGAGTGGAAAGACCATACCCCGTTTTATTTGATAGTAAAGAAGTAGCCTTAGCATTTAGTGTGGTCAAAATGAGATAGACCACAAAAAGTTATGCTAGACATGTTGTTGTTGAATCCCAGGCAGCTGCTTCACTCCACCACCAGCAGACTCGGGGAGATAATGGGAAGAATGAAAACAAGAGAACTCATGGGTTGAGATAAAGTTTAACAGGAAAACAAAACCCATGCACACAAACAAAGTAAAACAAGGAATTCTATCACTGCTTCCCATGGGCAGGCAGGTGTTCAGGCATCTCCAGAAAAGCAGGGCTCTATCACATGCAATGGGACTTGGGAAAACAAATGCCATCACTCCAAACATCCCCCCCTTTCCTCCTTCTTCAACCTGCTTTATATACAAAGGCCAATACCATAAGATATGGAAAATCCTTTGGATCAATTTGAGCCACTTGTCCCAGCTGTGTATCCCCTAACATTCCAAGCACCCCCAACTTCCTTGTCAGCACAGCAGTACAAAAAACAGAAAAGGTATTGGCTCTGTGTAAGCAGTGTCCAGCAATAACAAAAATATCTCTATATTATCAAACCTGTGTTCAGCACTAAACCCAAACACAGTCTCATGCTAGCCACTGTGAAGAAAACTAACTTTTCCCTCAGCCAAAATGAGCAGAACACAACATTATGGCCTACCCCAGCAGCTGTGTGCTAATGGAATTAACTAATCAGGTCATATACCATTTTCATTTTTCCACACTTTATGCCAAGGTCTGTGATTACAATATGCCATCATATACAAGGCATATCAACTCCATAGAGCTGAAGTGCACCATATGCAAGGAGTACTGGATTTTCCTCAACTAATTAATATTTTCAAGTTTGTCAGTTTGTCATTCAAAGCTCTGGATGTCAAATAGCTATAAGGAAAAGCTAAGTTTTATCACTGATAAATTAAAATTATGCTGAAGACAAAGGCCTGCACTATAAAGTTAAGATGAACCCAACATTGCCTTTGCACTGGTATGGGTTTTCTTGGAATGGAAACAAATAATTTAAACATCAAATCATGAATCTTCACAGACATAAAAGATCAAGCTCTACAGCTTAGGGGGTTTTAATGTCTGCTCATAGTCTATTGGCTTGTGATAGGAGCTTTGGATTCAAATTTGTGCTGAGAGATCAGTTCAGTGAATAACTCAAAATCTGTCACAAGAAGAGTTCTATCACTGCAAAGTCCTGGGGCTGCAGGGTAGTGGAGTGACAGTCCCTGCATGAGACCCCTCCAGAGCCCACCTGAAAGTTAAAGTCATAATCTTGGAGGTGCCTGGAGGCACCTGGAAAGAAACAATCTGTATATGGTGGTTAGCAGGAATATTGCACCTACAAAAATTTCCTCACAGTGATTTAGGCACCTGAAGATTTCTGCCAGTCTTAAGCAGTATCTGAGTCAGCAGTTTAAGATCCTTTAAATGGTGCTGGATAACATAATGGTCAGATGCCATGTCCTTTTTACATACCTCCTATTAAGCACTACTATTAAGGGAGTCACATAAATACTATAAATACTGCAAATAATAATGGGGTTTGAAAGGCATGTGTTCCCTTAGAATTTTAAGTGCAACTATTTCACAAGATTTTATTTCACAAGTTACAGGCAGTAGCTAGGTCCTGATTTAGAATATGATATAAAATCACCTGGAATGTAATTTACAAAAATATCAATTTTTATACCTAGACTTACAATGTATGTAAGGCTCAAATACATAATATTAAGTTTTTTTCCTTATTAATTTTCCTTTTATGATGTTGGTTTGGGGTTTTTTTTTGTTTTTAATTGGAGCTATGACCTTCTTTCTAATAGTTAGGAGGATGCTGTTTTTAATTGGAGCTGTTGGTGCTGTTCCTTCTGACAATCTGAGGATAAAAGGGAAGTGATCAAAAGAGAGAACTTAGGTCTGCTCTGACTATAAGCAAAGAGGAAACTCCATCTGACCAAAGTGGGCACCTTCTGGTATTCAGCAAGCCATGCAGAACTACTTTTTAATGTTACAAAAGTCAGAAAGTCACTTTTTGGTAGGCATTATGCTTCAAGAGACATATTGTCAAATAGATCACAAAGGCCTTGCTAAAATAACGGAAGAGTTCTACAAAATTGGAAGAAATAAAGTAACTCTCTTGCTGCTTCCTCAGTTTAGATCAGAGAGCTTTCTAATTTTTATTAAACAAGTTTGTCCCATTTCTATAACGCTAGATTGAATGCCTCTTCAAAAAATTCTGCAACTTCTTTACAGATAAAACAGAATAGATTTTCGTGCTATGCTGCATATCAGAATGGCACACTCTTCTCTTTTCTTCTCCCTGCATTCAGAACCAAACCTTTCTGCATGTAAATGGACAGATTCAGCTGGGAAGGTTCCAAATTCGGAGTCGTGATGTTCGTCTCACAGATAGTTTCCTTGATGATTTAAAATTTCTGCCTGCTGAATACGACAAGGGGGAGTATTTCAAATTCCTAGAAGATTATGGAACTCACTATGCTGTCTCTGGGACTGTAGGAGGAAGATATGAACTTGTTTACGTGCTGGATAATTATGCTATGTCTCGACTAGGTATGCGTTCTGTTGGCCTTGCTATGACCAAGTTCCCACACTCAAAGAGATATGTGATGGTAGATCTGTGTACGTGGAAAAATACTGAGAAAGCACTGTTTAGTGCATGCTGCCTGTGGCATACCAGCGACATTATAGAAATACATGAGAAAATAGTCAACCTTTATAATTTACAGAACTACTTGAAATCTCTGTTTTAAGTCTATGACTGAGAGGGCCAAAGGAACCTTAAACAAACCTTGTGAACACACTAACAATAATTGCATGATTCACAAGAGATCTTGTCCAAAGACAGGAAAACCCACATAAACCCTAAATCCTATTTGGTACCTTTTTGTGGTATAATCACTCTAAGAGTATGGTGGTGACAAAAAACAAGGAATAAATTGTAGTGCTTTCTAGGAGCCACATGGAGCATGCAAGTGTGTTAAAATTGATTTCATAGTTTTCAATATTCACACTGGAATATTCCATGCCCTGATTAGAATAGAAAAGTAGAAATTTAATCTTCCCTCATGGGCAGTTCAGATATATGTGGGTTTGTGCTGGATTAAAGTGATCACATGGGAATAAAGTGAGAAAAGACAATTCTCACGTTGATTTTGGAGATCAAAAAATGAGCATTTGCTGGTTGCAGCCCAATAACAATATTACTATCAAATATTCAGGCTATGAAAAGGGACATGGGACAAATTTGTCACTTTAATTTCCCACTATTAGTCTGTTCATCCCCTCGAGATTGTAGTTTTGGATTTTTTTAAGTCACAGTTTTAAGCAAAATTCTTTCTGAACACAATGCTGAAGTGGCAGATGATATTGGGTTTGGGTTCAATATGGAGAAAGGAGATGTTGGAAAAAGTAGTGTGTAGAGGTGGATTAGGATTAATGGAAAAAACATACTTTTAAGAGATCACTGGCCTTGATTAATTTTATGGGTAAAAGCAGCGGAGAAACATAATTGAGGTTAGAAGAGAGACTGAGAGAATTCAGTAATTTAGTATATAAAAAGAGTAAATATTGAACAACTGCAAAAAAACAAAATTTCAATGTGATAAAATGAAAAAAATATGGTTCCTAAATGAAGGCCTACTTTCAGCTAGCTCAAGAAAAACAAGCCATTTTTAGTATTTTCCTAGTCACCACAGATCTCACCTGCATCTGTTCAGGCACTCAAATTACAGCCATCCTCATATTCATTACATAGACAAGGAAAAAGTAAAAGATAAATAGTAAGAAGAAAGCCACAAACATTTCCAATAGGCCTGAAATTTATTCTGTAACAATAATAATGTCTTGTTATTTATGCTTATTCAATCTAATTGCCTATTTCTACTCCCAGGAATCACTGTAGAAGATGTGAAAAAATGCCTTGGCTATCACTTAGATGCCAATATCGTGTATAAAAACATACAAGCCAATTTTAATGTTGATAGTGGTAAATGTGAAAATATTTATAGCAGAGAGAAATGTAAGTATGTCCTTGATTTATGTTATATCTTTTGCTTAAGGAAAGATAATACCAGCTGCTTCCTCTGAATAATCAATATAGTTATTGCTGTTAGAATTATTGCTATCCAGTAGAGCAATACAGGTGAGATTCACATTCTTCCATGCTCCTAAGTCAAGACAGCCTGAGAATGTGTTCCCAGCATGCACACACATGAACCCACCAGTTTGATGCATACATACGTACGTATACATCACCAGCCACAAATAAATACAGAAAAAATACAGACAGCACTCAGGCAAACACAAATGGCACAAATGGTTTAATCTTTTTCTCCTCTCCATCTAATCCGGGAGAAAGTCTTTCAGTGGGCAATATCACAGAATCACAGGACAGTTGAGGGTTGAGAGGGTCCTCTGGAGGTCACCTTGTCCAAGGCAACACAAGTCTCAGGTATTTCAGTCCCAACAAAATATTTATATGTAATCAGTACAGATAACTTCAGAAGTTGACCTTAAATACCCAGTTGAACCAGCAACTGCATTGTTAGCCTCTCCTGTTAGTGACAGAGATATATTACACCAGGCCCACAGCTCCACTCCCATTGCTGGTGCAGACTCTCTGACGTACATCAAGGCACACAAACTGTGGATGTCTCCAGGGACTGGCCTTAGGTGCTCAGCCAATGCAGCAATTGGTCCTTAGATCCTCTCACCTCCAGCTGCCTTAGACAGAAATGCATTCATATGAGACCAGATCTCAGCCAAACCCAGATCTGAGGTCTCTCCAGTATTTGGCCTAGAAACCCAGTATCCAGCTCCTCCACTTGTCTCACTCTGGACCCATAAAATCACAGAATGGTTGGGGTTGGAAAGGACCTTAGAGATCATATAGTTCGAACATATCATTTTGGAAAGGGATGCAACATATTAAATCAGGCTGTCCAGAACCCCATCCAACCTGGTCTTGAACAGGGATGAGGCACAGTTTCTCTGGGTAATCTGTTCCATTGCTGCACTTCACTCTAAGTAAAGAAATTCCTTTTGTCATCTAATCTAAATCTCCTCTCTTTTAATTTAAAATTACTTCTCCTTGTTCTGTCAATAGCTAACCAAGTAAAAATATTGCTCGCCTCTCTTTTTATAAGTCCCCTTCAAGTATTAGAAGACTGCAATGAGGACTTCCCAGAGCCTTCTCTTTTCCAGGCTGAACAATCCCATCTCTCTCAGCCTGTCACTCATAGGAAAGGTCTTCCAGCACTCTGTCCATTTCTGTGGCTTCCTCTGGACTTGCTCCACAGGGTCCACATCTTCCTCATGTTAGAAACCCCTGATCTGAATGCAGATGGGATCTCATGTAAGCAGAGAAGAGGGGCAAAATCCCCTCCCTCCCCTGCTGCCCACGGGGCTCTGGATATAGCCCAGGACACATTTGGCTCTCTGGGCCGTGAGTACCAAGGCCAGGGCAAGTACAGCCTCTCATCCACAGCGCTCCCAAGCCCTTCTGGGCAGGGCTGGTCTCCACAGGTTCTTCTCCCAGTCTGTGCACAGACCTGCTATTGCTTGACCCAGGTGTACACCTTGCACTTGGACCTGCTGAACTTCATGAGGTTTTTGTGGGCTCACCTCTCAAGTTTGTCTGTGTGTCTCAGGATGGAACCCAATCCTTCTGTTGTGTTAATGGCTCTATTTTGTGTCATCTGGAAACTTTCTGAGGGTACACCTGACCCCACTCTATCATTGATAAAGATACTGATGGAAATCAGTCCCAAAGAGAGCTCTGAGGGACACCACCTGTCACCAGGCTCCACTCGGACACAGAGCCATTGACCACAACCCTCTGGCTGTACCCATCCAGCCAGTTTCTTGCCCACCAATAAGTCCACCCTTCAGGTCCATATGTCTCCAATTGGGAGATAAGGAAGTCATGTGGAACTGTATCAAAGGTCTTACAGAAGGCCAGGTAGATGACATCTGTTGGTAGTCCCTTCCTGACTGTTGCTGTCACTGCATCACAGAAAGCCACCATATCTAGGCCACAGCAACATCTGCTCTGGTACTTGTCTCCCAAGCCACTTACCCTATATTCACCTGCTAGTCTGGCTTGACACTTGCTAGTCATCACACACTGGCATGTGAATTGTCACTTGTTCCAGTGGTTGCCACCACAAACATCAGGTGCCTCTCAGCCCTTGTCCAGCTCTAGCAGCTGGCCACACAGAGCTCTATACATACGCATGCACACAGAATAGAGTCCCTTCACCCTAGGAAAGAGTTAGAATGGAATTTAATGGTAGGCCAGGACAGACTGCAAAGATGAAGGACAGCACACAGCAGAGTAGCTCAGAGATCAGTCATTTGTCTGTATGCAATAAGTCCCCTTTTTTTGCCTTTATGCCTTTATTTTCTCAAGTTTGCTCCTCCCAAAGCCACTGTGAACCCCCCCTTACCTTTTCAATGGCACTCCTGTAAATATATTCTAAGTATTTAAATTCATGTAATCCCAAAATGCCATTCTTTCCATCTAGAGAGCTCTTTCATTGACTCATCTTGCAGCTGATTAATCTTCAGCCCCATACTGCTGGGCTAATGGCTCTGCTGGAACAGGCCTGAGAGGAGTTGAAGGAGGGACTCCCTTTCTCTGATTACCCTGTTTGAGTTCCCCTGCCTACCACTGTTGCCCTCTGCTCCTTTATGTGTCTGGAGATGGGCTTTGTTTCACATGAAATAAAAATTACAAAAGAGAAGAATATGTACTACTATATTGCATAAGAGGCAATTATTTTCAGTACTCTGCTCTTGTATTTTAATTATGAAGCAAAAGCCCCCAGTATTCTAATTTCTGCCCTATTTTTGTTTAGCTCAGTAGAATTACTCATTAGCTTTTGCCTGTCATCAAAGGACTGTGATCTCCATAATGTGTCTCAGTTTGTCCTATCCTTTCTTTCTCTTTCACATCTAGGGTTTTCTAATTTAATTGCAAAAGAAAATATTTCCTCCCACATAAGGCATAAGCAAAGAGATACTGAATTATGCTACAACCAAGAGTTCTCTCTATAATAGTTTTACAAAGAGGTACTGGCTTCACTAGGAGGACAGCTGTTTTTCCAGATGCATGGACATTAAACATCCTTCTTAACACTCCTTTTTTTCTGCAGCAGAAGCAAATGATAATGCTGTCATTGATGATGTCCTTTCCTTAGTTGAGGGAGGGAAGATTGACTTTTCAGTTAAAATCAAAGAAATGTTACTACGAGGAGCCAAAGCCGTTGATGTAGAGGATTACATAGAGTGGGCTAAATCTTTGGTTGATGCCCCAGTAGTGATACAGCAAAGGGTAAGTACAGCTTCTTCAAAGCTGTGGCTTTTTACAGTTTGAAAGCTTTTGATCTATGATGGAGGTGAGACTCCAAGTTTATAATGAACTTTCATACATTGTCTTTATCTTAACTGTTTCTTCAGATGTTTATTCTGGTTATGGTTATATCAAAAGGATTCAGAGCTTTGGAAGAGTGTGTTACGTATGGGCATTTTTCCTTCTACAGCCTTCTCCAATACATACACTTGTTCCAGTTAAGATAAGAGACGCGTATTTAAAGAAACAAAATTTGGAAAGAGCAATTGAAGACTACATTACTGAATACAGTGTGTGCAAATGTGAACCCTGTAAAAATGGAGGCACCCTTGTGCTGGTAGATGGAGTCTGTACATGCCTGTGCTCAAGTTATTTTAAGGGACTTGCTTGTCAAATTCCTAAATCTACATTAGTGAAAGGTGAGTAAATACTCCAAATAAACTAAAATGAGCATATCTGTTGTAAGAGTAGGCTGGCAAAATGAGCCTTCACAAGAAGAGAACCATATCTCCTTTACACCTACTGACGTCAAATCTCAAGGGCAAGGTGTGGAAGGGAAGGTAAGTTACTGGGTTCTTTCCATAAAGAGGGTACTCTAAGTTGGAGTTCATTGTCCACATAAATTACTGTGTCTTGGAATGACACAAAGTTCATTAAAGTACACAGGAGTATTATCAAATCTTGGTGCAGTACTGGTAAAACGGTTTCAGGCAAAAGCAATCTCACCGTGTCTTAAATTATTTTGTCTTCAGTTTTCTGAAAAAGGTCAGTGTCTGCTTGCACATGATTATGTTTCACAATTACTATGCTAGTTTAATATTAGGTTGGGGGAAAGGGAAAAGAATGCAGTTCCACAACTGACAATGTAAAAATTTATGGTGAAGTAAATTCATTCTCTGTGGCAAGGTTTTTAATGCACAGGTGCCCAAAATGGACCTTAGAATTTGTTTCCTAGCATGACAAAAATGTTGAAAGCCCAGGGTTATTAAGCACTGCCACGAACACATTTTTAAAAGCCAAATATTTGTGATGGGTTGTGTTCAGGAGACTGTAATGATCTGCAGAATTACCATAACTGAGTTGAATCATGATTTACCTTAAAAGAGGTACGTGGCCTAATCCTGTACCATGTCCTCATACTAGTTGTGACTGATGGAGGCTGGAGCTGTTGGAGTGCCTGGTCCACCTGCATCAATGGGGAGAGTACTCGAACTCGCCAGTGTAATAATCCTGCACCAGGATCTGATGGCAGACCATGCCAGGGAGAAAGCATTGAAAAACGGCCCTGTGAAGAAGGGAAATAGTTATGCTTCTCAGAACCAGGTAAGCAGCCTCTTTAAATGTGTTACTGCAGTTTAGAATAAATGCTCAGCCAATATTTGGGGCATTTCAGAAATACAGTTGATGAAGTGATGAGTAAGTTCACTTACATTTTTCACTTAAATCTGTGATTTGATACCACCTTTGATAAACCACTGTGTATTGAATTTATGAATGGTTAGATTTGTATTTGAATGTTTTGACAAGTAATGTTATATTACAGAACTTGAGATTAGAATAGAATTCTGAGTAAGAATAGACTAAAAATACAGTTCTCAAAAGAAACAGATTTCATCTCCAGTCAGACTACCCATGAAAAAGCTTATGTCTTAAGGAGAGGGAAGAGACTTATTTTCCAGGGAAAAGATATTAAGACAGTTTAGGAGACTGAAGTCTCTTACTTGATAAATAGGATGCTGAAATCCAGCAAAGCTATAAATCTGTTACAGCAGATTTGAAATTTTCATTGAGAGAATATGATACAGATCTGGAAGATCAAGAAAAATATCACAAGGACAGGTATAAGTAATATAAATTAAATAAACCAGCAAGTGGTAGATTTTAAACAGACTGAAGATCTGGTCTTCACACAATGTCCATACCAAAATTAAATATGCATTTTAAAATTTCAACACAAAAAAATAGAAGGTTATTAAAGGTAGATAATCAGGCTCACTCAGGAAGTCTCTGAAAAATCAATTTTTGCAGGATTGGAAACTATTGTGTCTGGACTGTGCCCAGGCAGAAAGGGACCTGGGGGTTCTGGTGACAGCAGCTGAACATGAGCCAGCAGTGTGCCCTGGTTGCCGAGAAGGCCAAGGGCATCCTGGCGTGTATGAGGAGCAGTGTGGCCAGCAGGAGCAGGGAGGTCATTCTTTCCCTGTACTCAGCACTGGTGAGGCCACACCTTGAGTGCTGTGTCCAGTTCTCACTCCTCAGTTTGGGAAGGATGCTGAGACACTTGAACACGGCCAGAGGAGGCAACGAGGCTGGTGAGGGTCTTGGAACACAAGCCCTGAGAGGAAGGGCTGAGGGAGCTGGGGTTAGTTAGTCTGGAGAAAAGGAGGCTCGGAGGTGACCTTATCACTCTCTACAACTCCCTGAAGAGTAGCTGTAGTCAGGTGGGGGTTGGTCTCTTTCTCCAGGCAGCCACTGACAGAACCAGAGGACACAGTCTTAAGCCGTGCCAAGGGTAATGTAGGTTGGATATTAGGAATAAGTTTTTTATGGAAAGAGTGATAAAGTACTGGAATGGTCTGCCTGGGGAGGTGGCGGAGTGTTTAAAAAAAGACTAGATGTGGCACTCAGTGCCATGATTTAGTTGAGGTGTTGGGGCATGGGTTGGGCATGGGGCATTGTTGGGGCTTGTGATTCTGTGATTTTGTACTCTGGGAATGTAGCGCTATGTGTTTCCCGACTCCTGGACATTCTCTAGGTCAGTGTTATTGCCCTCTTGTTAAATTCAGGATACGAAGTTAGCCTTTGCTTGATTCAATGAAGCTAGTGTTATTAAAATAAAAACAAACCTCATAAGCAGCTAATATTCCTTAGAAAAAAATATTAACCTAACTTTGGCTTCTATGGTTTCAGACATGTGGAGTCCACTCTGGAAGCAGAAGTCTGATATTTACTTCTTCTGAAAATCACACTATGAGCTTTGATTCATCCTTCACAGAATCACCCAGAGTTTCAGAATGTGTCAGGTTGGAAGGGACCACACTGGGTCATCTGGTCCAATATCCCTGCTCAAGCAGGGTCATCCCAGAGCACATAGCACATGATTGTGTCCAGATGGTTCTTCATTACAATTCTTTTACATTACAGTCATAGTTGAGACACAATAAAATCATTAACTTAGTGAGCTATGAGAGTAAAATTTCTTTTAATTTTGACCAAATATATATGTTGTAGCTACTATCTCCTATCACTTCTTCACTATTTTTCATCTTTTCTTAGAAAACTTTAATGTATTTCAAACCAGTTCCACCAGTTCACAATTTCTGCTGGCCAGCTAGCTACACCAGGACAGTGTAATGGCATGATTTTAAAGTACCTGCAGCTTAAATGATCTGTAATCAAAATAAAGTAATAAACTATAAACATGTTAACAGAGATGTGCTGATACAATAGCTGTGGTCAACCTTCATTAGTCTGGCTATCATTAGAACATGAATACTCCATATTTGTTAGTCAATGGGGTGTCCCTTTATCAATGTTTTTTCATAATTATTTCGATCATGTTTTCAAACTGATTTTCAAGAACTCAAATCCAGCACAATTATAAGAATAATTTATTCAGCATCATTTAATTAATGGTACATTGTTAGAGAAGAACTTTGAAGAGTAATTATCTTCAGCAAAATGCCCCTGGAGATTTATTTCAGCCCCATGTTTTACATCTAATTCATGGCACAGACCACCAGGATGTTTATGAAGACATGCAGCTTCACTAGAGCTATTATGCCTGCTCCTTGATATATCAGCAGAATAGTCCATCACTGTATCTTGACTACGTCAATGAGTAGTGATTCAGATTCCTGGTTCAAGAACCTTCTCTTGAACCAGACCCAAGTAATGGATCATATAGGATCAGTCCCCTGATTGATGCCTGCGGAACACTGCAAGTAATCCCAATTAAACTCAGTAATTCCTGTTCCACTAAAGTGATGTAGCTTTAACCATCTCCTAGTCTACCTTACACACTTTCTGATGAGTCACATCTTCTCCCAATTCCTGCCACTTAAAATTCAACAAAGGATATCACCTGAAATACTCTGCTGAAATCTAGACAAATAAAGTAAATTGTATTACCTTTGCCTTAAATGCCAGCTAAATAATGATATTTTCTCATTCAAATAGTTTCTTCAAAATCGTTATTGTGCTTGAAAATAAGCATGTAGCTGCCCTGGTGATTTCCTGGTTTTAGGAAAATACATAGTGTGTTTGCTAATTGCCCTTATAATTATCTGTAGTTGTATTTGCTATTACCTATATAATAGATTGTATTGATACATTCCATTGAAAGTTTACTAGAAGGCAAATGGTTTGGGACTTAACAGCAATTCAGTAATCTTTTCAGTACTGTAGCATTGAGATTTTAAGGAAATACTGATTTCCCTACAGAATGCAGTTTAAACCTTGCTTCTGACACAGATACAGTACTTTCTGCTATTTTACTATCATATTGATTTATCCCCCATTTATTAATACTAAGAAGATTGCTTACTGAAAACTCAACTGATTTTTGTTTAGAAGTTAGGCATCAGCAACATATACCAGCATGCTCTTTTCTGTATTAGCCAGGACTTCACTTCACTTCTTCCTTCTTTCACCTCTTTTCATTAAGCTCTTTGGTTTGGTTTTAGGGTTTTTTTCTAAATCTACATCACTGAAGTTTATGGCCATATGCCCTTCTTCCTTTAATTTTTGTGCACGGGAATCTGCAGCACTACAGAACCTTAATACCCTGTCAGAGCAGGACAATCCTATTTTTCTGATAGTATCAGCTATGAAGAGCTCAATAATTAAAGGCTAATTGATAGAGATGTAGTTCAGCTTATTAGAGATAAAATAGATATTAAACATCCATGAAAGTCTGGGTCAGAAGGAGACATGTATGATGTTGACAGTGAAGCCTAAATATGTGTAAATTCAGGAACCCTGAGCATGAAAAACAAAACCAAAATACATTTGCCTTTTTAATTCAGTCAAAGTTTACTGAAAAGAATAACTCCATAATTTTATCATCATCATAGAGCTGGTTTTCCTGAAAATCTTGGAAGTAATTTCATGAATGAATAAAACCTATTCATCCTTCACAGTGATGCAAAATAACCCAAACAAATACTGTTTACAATTCTGCTAGGTGTCTGATACTGTGCAAAACAAGAATATTGCCGATATCTTTTCATGTGAAGGTTGGATAGACCACATACACTCCCTAAAAATATATTCACAGTGAAGGACAAAGAACAACTTTTACTCCCTCTAGTACAGTGTATAATCCTTAGCAGACTCGTGGAGACACAAAAACTGAAATTATGGTAAGTACAGGACTTTATTAATTTACTTTTTACTGCTTGGATGCATTAGCACTAAAACTGCTGTGGTTGGGATTGTAAAACTTCAAATTTATTTCTAATAGTTTTCAAGTCCTTGAATCTGGTTTTCTTCTTTTGAGGGCATGAGGAAACTTTTTTAATTTTTTAGGTCCTTCATAATCTGAACTGGTTTCTATTTGGCATTCAATATTTAGGAAAACAACTTATTTTAAGGCTAAACTGACAAATTAGTTTGTGTATCTAGAGGAGTTCTGCAGTCAAGTTTCAATGTGACACTAACTAAGAAATGGGAAGGGGTCATACCTTCTAACTAGATAAAAAAAAAAATTCTACTATCTTATTCTGCTTCAGCAGGACTTTGTAACTAAAAAGATAAGGGAATTTATTTGTATATCTTCAGTACAGTTGGACGGGGAGTGTGGTGTGCTACTGTGTGTTTAGCAAACTGATAGAATTTATTTCCTTAGAAAGTCAGTTTCTTTAAACTCTCTATGTATCTTTTGTTAAGTATTTTATTAATAAATGAAATTGATAACTTCAAGATTAGTGATTTTACAGAAAAATGTTGCAAAGTAAGAAATCTGCATAACTTTTCAGGCCATCTTCGCTGTTGGAAATAATTTAGAACTCCTGAAGTAGTTTGCGTATACCATTTATCATGGTACCTATGCCAAATCAATCATCCTCCCTGGATGCAGTACTATTAAAGAGGTTGACTGGAAGCTGTCAATCCTGTTTCAAAAGAAAAATGGTGCCTTGTGATACTTAGAGGTGAAAAAGGTTGCCCATTGCAAGTGCTACTTGAAAAATGGTAATGTGAAATAAATTGAATAAAGAATGTGGTTCTCATTTAATAATGCTTTACAAAGTTCCGAGTGTTGTCTCTGAATTTGTCTCTGCTTTACACTATGATTGAATTCTTCCTGAGTCCTAAGGAAAGTGTTTACATAAGGGATAATTTTTTTAAATTTTAAAATATAAACCAGGTATTTTACTTTATTTCTGTTGTAATACCACTGTGTAGAATCAAGTACTAAAGGTCAAAATACTAAATTTGTTTAAATCAATAATTCTAGTCATTTGACTTGCCCCAGATTTTCGTATGGATAAACAGAATCTGAATAAGGACTAATAAAAAAGCATATTGCTGTGCTGCTGTCTGCTGATTTCTAGCTGCCACAGGGATTCTTTAACTTGTACTAGAGAAGACCAAATATGTATGGAATATTCTTATTTTCAAGATTCTACATTAAAAATTGCATAGTTACTCTTCTGGCATGATTCAAGCATCTAGCTACTTTCACAAACAGATTTGTTTAGGAACAATATACATGTGAATATGTTGATCACTGAACTTCTGCTGTTGCCAAATGCAGTTTGAAAATATGCAAAAATTTACAGTTTTTCTATTTTGATTAAATATTTTCAAATTTCCAGGCTGTTTTCCCTGATTCCAAATAAGAATGACAATTCAAAGTAATGCAAACCATGAATTTATTCTTTTAATCTATTTTCTTGACAATACTATATAGAACTATGGGAAAGGAAGTGCTTTTATCTTTGTATCACAGGCAACCCAAAAGCTTCACCAAGCAAGGAAATGAAATTTTTTGGCCCTAGTTTTGATGTTGCACAGGTGGAAATTCATATTACAGCAAAATGAGAAGAGAGAAAAAAAAATTAGGAGGCAGCAAAACAAGCAGCAAAATAAAGTGGAGTGAGGAGCACTCTAGGGAAGTTTAATTTGTGGCAGTTTTACACCAGAAAACAAACTTGTGAAAAAAAAAAATGCATTCTTACAAAAAAAAAAAATAGTCAGTGAACCTTTTGAACATGAGATTGGGTATAATCTGTTTTTAGTTCATACAGGAAGAGATGTAGAGAAGAAAGTTAGGCCTGCAGAAACCTGAAATTCAAATGAGGACCAAAACCTAGAATTAATTATTTTATTTCTGACCATCACCACAAAGGAAAGTTTAGATTAAAACACTTGGATATAATATAAGATGGGAAAATAGTAGAACTGCAATAATAGCTTCAGACAGGTGAGACTGAAGCTTATTACCACAACAGAAAAAAGTTGCATTTTCCTTTGATTTCAAGCCAGGACAGGCTGCATTGATTCCTGACCTAGAGAAATACCCCTAAACATATCTGTGTTTTTGCAGTGATACTGGTAATTCTCAGATACACTCTAACAAGGAAAAAATTTTCAAGATATGTGAATTCAGTAATAAATCTTCTGATGGAAATAAGGCCAGCCAAGGAACTTGACTGATCTATTTGGATTTACTCTTTGTCTAAATAAAAAAAAAAATTAATCCTACAGATTCTGTACAGAAATACATTATATTATATACAATTATATGTTGCTTATAAAATGCTGAATGTCTAACCGCATTCAGAAGGAACCATCTCTTGAGGAATTCTGTGAAGGGAATTCTACCTGCTTGCAAAAATCACTGAGATTACTGGACTTCTGACAGCCACAGAAGACCAGCAGATCTTACATAACTGGGAACTCAGCAGACTTTTGAAATGGATTTGTGCAAAATACAGCTCTTAGAGCTACGAACAACAAATTACTCAGGATATTACTGTTTTTGTTAAACATGCATGGGTTTCCTGTACATCAAGCTGGACTGGAGCATAAGAAGTAGAGAAACACTGAGAGAGATTTTTTTTTCCCCTGATATTTATGCTATTTTCCAAAAATCCGTAAACTATCATCTGCCCCAATTAAACAAAAAAACCCCTTTTTTCGTCTCTGTTTAAGTCAGTAGGAAAAGCACAGTAAGGG